ATGTGTGACGGTAATGCGAAATCGAAATTAGTTTCAACTGACAGAATTCAGTTTCAATCTGACCCCTGGAGGTCAATGTTTTAGGTTATACTTAACCATGGGTTTTTAGTTATGAATAGAGAGGCAGAAAAGAAGCCAGTTGATATTAAGGAGAAGACGGCATAGAAATTGGCACTCTTTCAACATGTCAGAGTAGAATAATAGAACCTGGATGTTTCAACCAGTCAAATAGCTGCTCAGATAGAGGGATATGTGATAGAAAACATAATTTTAGTATAACTTAGTGAACCTTTATCAGTAAATGTGTTATAATTGTTTATTTATTTTAGTTGTGTATTTATTTATAACCAGGACAGCAGCCTCCGATGAGAGTAACATTCTATTTCGGGTCTTGCATTAAACACTTTACATCCTGTCCAAGCCTCATCCAATGAATATTGGTGTGTATTTGGACAACAATGGCATGTTTCTATTATTACAAAAGTACCTTAATTGAAATAGTCAAATGAATTCACAAGAGGGATTCGGAGTTCTAGTTTACACTAACTTAATAACATATCAGTACAATAATTCAAACTAGCTATTTGTAATTACGGAATGGGAACTAATTACAGTGCTCGACACAATTTAGATATTTAATTGATTGTACATGACATATGTTGCTAATGTTTATTTTACTATTTCCGCAATGTTTGCAACAGGGAATATTAGCATCTGGATGTAACTGAAGTGTTTCAATGCTTGTCGAATTTTTAGACATTTAGAAAAAGGGATATGTCATACAAGCATAAGCTTTTAGCGAGTTTGTTTATGATATTGGCAACGGTTTTTAACTGCTGCTATATCATAAGACAGGGCTGCATGCGTAAATTGTTACAGAATGTACTTTGTACTACTGTCTAATTTTAGCATTCCTAATTGTTTGACATACCTATTCCATGCATTCTGGAACATCAAAGGTATGCTTTTCTTTCCGTACTCAAAACCGTGGTAGTGTTGTCACTTGTTATTTTCATGGTTTGTTATATTTTTTAGTTTATTTTGTTATCAAAAGCTGCTCAAAATTGGCAGAATAATATTTTTCAGACACACGAGTTACCTACTACCTAGCGTTTCTTATAATAAGTACAATGTTTGCAGTTTGTAAGAAACGTGATTTGAAATTAGCCGGCCTGTCAAGTATCATCACATCATCACATGACTGTAGTAATTCAGGAATTGTAAAAATAAAGTTTCACAGTATTCCCAAGTAACATTCAACCTGTCAATGTTCATTCCATTACTGCGTACGGTTTTACATTATCAAGTAATTTACAAACTGTTCCACAATCTCGACACCTTAGAATTTGGACGTTTGAGATTTGTCAGATTTAGGACTAGAGACAGAAGTCTAGCGGGTCCGTCTGGCAGGCTCAATGCGCGGCGGCATCATGGGGGAGAATTTGAGAAATAAAGCCTGTTAACATAGCGGTCGAACAGAGCAAGATCGCCAACCGCCCGCCGGTGACTGACCAAGAAACAGGCATTGGTCGTCATTGCAAATACATAACGATTTTCTAGAATCTTGTCTCTAAAATTTTAATTTTCTTAATTGTCTAAGAGGTCATCACACAAAGCCCTAGGGATCTGTTAGAAGAAAGCTTTCCCCATTCCAAGTATAGTAGGTGTACGGGCATCAGGAAAATAAAACAGTTGGGGCTGGTTGCAGTCCCCATCGGTTGACTGGTAGGTCAATATGGGCCCCATAAAAAAACGTATTTGCGGGAGGGGGTAATAGAGGCGAGCTTGCCAATGCAAAAGAATTCCCTGTTGTCTATCTTACCCTCCTTTTCGCGTTGCCTACCGCATTTGAGCCGATCTTCTCACATGGAGAACCGTCCCCACATGTTTACGTTAAAAACAAGTGTACTGGATAGATAATCAATTTTTCTTGCTTACTGCGCTGTGTTGTCAGAAAGCTGACGCCCAGTTGTTTATTAAAAAATATTTACTTAAATATCTATGGCTTCAAGTAATTACTCAACATTTCAACCAAATCAGTTTATAGGTATTTATGAGACTATCTCAATACCGATTCACCAAACTTCAACGCCCTTTATCCCAGAAACTCCGGACTTATAGTCGCGAAGCCTTTTTCACAAATCAAGTCCTCTTAAAAACCCTGAGGGTGACAATAATTATATGTAGACATTGGTTTATTAAACGAATGTGTCAACAGGAGTGTATTAAAATTACTTTCTCATAAACCAATACTTACCCGAAGGCCATTTTTCTGGAGGATATAATTCTCAAAAAAACCCACACCCAAAAAGTTCCCATCGCGGCTGCATCTAACCCTTGGGAGCCAACCGAGCCGCACCCTTGCAATTTCCTCCTGACTTTTTGTATTTTCCTAAATTGTTTATTGTTTCGATTGCAATCTGTTGACGGAGCACACATGGCCTCTCAGTTTTCAATTATTGTTTTCATTACTAGTCATGCGTCCTCATTCCTTGTTTTTGAGTTTTCGTAAGTTCCTAAGCTCGAATGTTATGTAATAATTAAGTGTTATTAATTATTTCTGAACGCATCCGATGTGTGACAGTATGTTCATCGGAACTTTTTTCTCAACACGACTTAATGATTCACCCTATGAAGTTTTGTACAGTAGTTAGGAAATACCGTGTATATTTGAATTTTAAAGTTGTGGCGTGATGAATGTCGGCACTCCGGACAATGTGTGACTGTAACGTCGAATATCACCTTCAAGGAATTCTAAAGCGTTACTGAAGAGCAGCTGGAACAGCCATGATGTAAAACGGAAAGACGAAAAGCCGTAGACTTTTGCCATTTATTTACTATTGCTCTGCAAGTTCCGCCGACTGCACTGATGAGGACAAGTTGAAGCTTTTCCTGCTAACGAAGGAACATCAAACACCACTGCCTGCTTTGTTCGTACAAATGGACTCCTTTGTGTTATCCTTTAGATGCTGCAAACGAGCAGGAGCATAACTTTTTATACCATCAATATAGTTCAGACCACAATTTAGAATAAGTATCTTTGTAGTTTCCACGAGTATAGAATCTTGAAGCTATTCAGATATAGTCGGTTAGACAAAACAGTAATGATTTGTGGACATTTTCGGACAGAAATAATAATGGCTCGAGCGCTAGCCATCTATTGCTTTTCCCAAACATTTCCAAACTTATCCCCACTTATATCCCTCTTTGTAAAAAACATTCACTCAAATCAAAATAGCGAAAGAAGTAGCTGATGGTTTCTGTTTTTTTTTTCTTTATTGTACAACTACTATTCTGCTATTAAGTAGTAGTACTTCTGACAGACTAGCACTCACAATAAAAATAAATAATAAAAGTTGACTACGGTCTTTCAGAATGGACTGCGTGTTATGAAAACCATCATTAAAGCTGTACATACCATTAACTCGTAATTTTCGAAAAATCTGCTTCGACATGGGTGCTTTATTTAAAAATCTTTATCACATCAAAGTAAGGTAGCCTTTGACTTCCAAAGATCAACGTCTTTAACAGTTTATTTCAAAGATGAGTAGTCCCTACATGAAGGTCAATTATCCAATACTAGTTGGCTTATTTTTCCTAAAGTAGCAATAGATTAAAAAAGTTCAATAACTATTTATTTTGAAAACTGCAATCTGTACTTCTGCCAGGCTAACATCTACAATAAAAATAGGTCATAGAAGTCGACTATGAACCTTCACAATGGACTACATGTTATGGAAAAAATCATTAAAGTTGTACAATCCATTAAAGGTGGGGGTTGACTATCAAGGAAAAAAGTCTTGAAAAAGTTATTTCACTTAAGAGCAGATCATTTAATGTATTTAAAAGATGAGCAGTCCATATACGAAATCAATTAACCAATCCTATTTGGTTTCTGAAACAAATGTCCCTTGCTTTTACTTTCTGAAAACATGAAAGAAAAGCTTATTGAAGTATCAAGTAAAGGTGTGTTGGTGCTTTAGTTTTTTTTCCAGAACCCGGATGAATTTTGGACAAACAGGATGCACATATACCTTCAGTTTGGATTTAATTGTTGGTTTCCATTTTAACATCATATTTGTGTGAGCTAAGTTTTTCACCTACGGCTGCCATTAAGACAAAGGTAAGGAATCAGCTAGTACTTGAACACGATATTATTGTGTATGTTGCAAATACTATACACTTACACTATAATTGTTGACATTGTTTTTTTGTTTTATTTCTACGGACTGACAAATATTCAGTTTTATATTTCGTTTGATACTTATTAGTTGTTAACTTTATTTTCAGCGCTATTAGAATAAAAATACATAAATTAACAAAATGGTATTTTTGTCTTAAGTTGGAAATTTTCGGCGACCCCGCTATGACCTCATTGGGACCCCGAGGTGGTGGACCGATTGTTTTCCACTCTCATATGCGTCGACAGCTGCTTACTATTCAGCGAAAATCTTGTTGAATTATAGTACCATTCAAAGATTGTTTGAGAAAAAACAATTTACTGTCATTTTTTATGTTGTAAGAGATTGCTGTCTCAATGTGTCATTTGCGTTGGCGCCATATACTTCTGTTCCTTAAGAAAAAAGAACCCAAAAGAAAAAGAGACAGCGAAACCAAACCCGAGCAATCTAATTGCCTATATTATAGGTTGAAGGATGGCGCCCGAGGGTGATATACTCACAATTTTACACCAACTGCTGTTAGATATATGTTAAGTACGATCACGTAGAGGTTTTTGAAATACGTGCTTGAATTTACCCCTCCTCAGATAAACATAGCGATATCCACCTGGAATATCAATAGATTTTTATTCGTATGCTACCAGCGTTTCTTTATTATCAGTTTTGGAAGGTTTAGGATGCCCTTGATATTTCTTATGTTTCGGCATCTTCAATGAGTTAAGTCCTTCTTCTTGTCTCAAAGGAATTTCACGGGATTTCATATTTATTAAACCATGCCATCAAAACGTCTTCTCTCCTAGCAGTACTATAAACAAAGGGTCAATTGCTGTTGGAATTCTATGCGGTGTTGCCGGACTTAGAAGAGAGTCTGGTTTTCAGGGATTGGAAAATACCTGATATCTCCGAACCGTTGAGGTAGATTCAAGCATTATCGCGACCCTGAAATTTCCTAGCAAGCCTTATATGAGATTAAATCGAATAAACAACGCATATCGGTTGAAATACAACAAATAAGCTTAAGATGAATAGTATTACAGACTCGGATGATTACACTACTGATGAAGAGAAAAAGAAAAGGGATGTTGCGGAAGAAATTTTTAAAAAAAGCAAAAGGAAGAATGTGGAACAGATATATGAAGAAATAAAACAGCTGAGAAAAGAACAAAATGAATACAAAAAAGAGGTAAAAATTCTTAGAGAGAAAATCGATCAGGTAAAGAAAGAAGTGGAACGGTTAAGACAGGAAATCACCATATCTAAGGATAAAATATAGAAAATGGAAGGTGAAAAACGAAGAAAAAAACATTGTTATACAAGGATATCCCTTAAATACGGTCAAAACAGCAAATTTGAAAGAAAAGATGGTAAGCTTTATTGGAAAAAGTTGAAAGCAGCCGTAACAGTCAATGGAGCCAGAAAACTATCAGAAAAAGTATGCTTAGTAGAACTTAATAGCATGGACGATAAAGTGAAAATAATGAAAAATAAGCGCAGACTTAAAGAATTAAAGGAAAGAACATATATGAATGATGATTTAACTAAAACTGAACGAGACATACAACGGAAAATAAGAACAAAGCAAACGAGGAAAGAAAGAAGGGTAAACACACTAAAATGGGCTATCAAAAACTAATAGTGGATAATGAAGTAGGGAAATGGAATGCAGAAACAAGCGAATTAGAGAAAATGGAAGACAAATTCGCAAAAAACTAAGCAAAAACTGGAAAATGAAGACGAAACAGGCTACGGCAACGGAAACGAATAAGGAATATATAAACATAAAAAATGAATATTGCAGGATGGCATAGATATTGGCAACCTGGAATATTAGAAGCATAAATGGCAAATAACCTGAGCTAGTTAGTGAACTTGAAAAATCAAAAATAGAAATTCTGGTAATAACATAAACAAACAAAAAGGGAAATGGGATTGAAAGTCTAGGCAACGGGCCTATCTTAATATACAGTGGCGTAGATACAAAGGAAAGAGCTTCTGCAGGAGTGGGATGTATTATACACAGAAATAAGGGGAATTTAATACATAGGTGGGAGGCAATATCAGAAAGAATATTAGTAATTGAATAATTGAAGTAAGAGGAGGTGCAAATCTAGATACTATCATTGGGATTTATGGACCTGATGAAAATGAGAAGGAAAAGATTCATTTTGGGAACTCCTATCACAGGTAGTAGAGTCAGCGAAAGGGAATTTATTCATAATGGGCGATTTTAATGGTCGTGTTGGTAAAAGAGATAATTTATTTAGTGACGTCATTGGAAATCATGGTGAAATAATGAAAATCAATAATGGTATGAGACTTCTGGACTTCTGCCAAATATTTAGCTTAGTTGTGACAAATACCTTCTTTCAACATAAAGACATTCATAAATGCACGAGAGTAGAACCCAGTAGAGGTGAAAGATCAATAATTGATTATATTATGGTTGGAAAGAGTAATTTGCCCAAAATACGACAAGGGTAAGAAGAGAACCTGAAATAAACAGTGTATGTACGAACATACAAGTTGAGAGAACGAGAATATGCTAAGAGGTATAGAGAGACTTCAAATGTAACGATTAAATCGGTGGAAAAGGAGGTAAACGGAATAGGTATAGAAACATGGGAAACTTTTAGGGATATGATGCTAACGTCAGTGAAATCAGTTTGCGGTACATACAGAACGAGTTCGAACAGAAAGCAAACAGCTTGGTGGAATAATAGAATAAAAATTCAAGTTAAAATTAAAAAACGGAAATGACTATGTTTTCTAAACAAACATACAGGAGAAAGCTATAATGAATACAAGAAACAGAGAGAAAAAGAGAAAACTATGGTGAGAAACAGTAAAAAGAAAGTATGGAGTGATTTTGGATATAAACTTGAGCGTGACAGCAAAGGTAACCAAAAATTATTTTATAATATCTTGAAGAGACTTCCAAGTAGACAAAACGCAGCAACTGACGCAACAGGGATAATGGATAGAGATGGAATTATGATTATGAAGGACAAAAAAATACTGGCTAGATGGAGAGAGTACTTTAATGATTTGCTGAACTCACAAAATTACACCGAACCAGATAATACCTCGGTATCTACGACACATCAAAACACCAAAGATACAGAAGAAGAGGAGATAACAGTAGATGAGGTAACAGAAGCATTGAAGAAACTTAAAAATGGAAAGGCACCTGGAATAGATAAAATAACAGGGGAAATGTAGAAAAATATGGATGAAACTGGAATTAGAATACTACATTCTCTCTTTACAAAAACTTATAGACAACAAATAATACCTGAGCAGTGATTTTACTACTTTTCAAGAAAGGAGACAAGAAAGATTGTAACAATTTCAGAGGAATAACGCTGCTGTCTACAGTACTCAAGGCCTATGAACACATAATAGAGAAAAAAAACTAAGAAAGTTAATAGAGCCGACATTGTCTGAAACACAAAGGGGATTCAGAAAGGGAAGAAGTACGCAGGATCACATATTTACTATCAAAAACCTGATAAGTAAATTTTTACCAAAAGGAAAACCAATGTACATTGCCTTCATGGATATGGAGAAAGCTTTTGATAGACTTCCACGAAAAGAGTTAAAAGAGTATTTGCTGAGAAGAAATGTTCCTGTAAAATTAGTAGAAGTGATCATGAGTATATACCACAATACTAACAACCGAGTATTATCCAGAAATGTGATGTCCGAAGAATTCGCTACTTCAGAGGAAGTACGTCAAGGCGGAGGGCTTAGTCCCCTATTGTTTATAGTATTCATGGATGATTTGATAAGACAATGCAGGCAAAAAACAAAACCATTTTTTGTTGGATAGTGGAATTAGCAGAGTGCGCATTTGCAGATGATTTGGTGTTGGTAACTGGTAGTGTTGGGAGTCTACAGGAAAATTTGAAAATTTGGAACATAGTACTTGAAGACAATGGTATGAAACTAAGTAAACTTAAAACTAAAGTTATGGCTGTGTCAAATGAAAAACTCAATATGGACGTAAGAATAGATAATGTAAAATTACAAAGATGCACTCCTTTAAATATCTGGGAGCTCTATTGGAACCTAACAGCAGAAATGAAAGGATAGGAAAGACAAACAACTTGTACTATGCGATGAGTAAAGGTTTTATCTACAAAAAAGAGGTGTCCAAGAAAACAAAAATGACAGTAAGTAATACAATATATAGACAGACCTATATTGACATATGGATGCGAATACTGGGTTCTATCGCAACAACAAGAAAGTAAACTTCAGGCAGTTGAAATGAAATACTTGAGACGAGTTAAAGGGGTAACCAAAACGGACAAAATAAGAAACGAGACTATAAGAACGGAGTGAAACACAGAATCTATACTAGAACACATAGAAATGAAGCAGCGAGACGGTTGGGACATTTGCAAAGAATGGGTGACAACATACCGGTGAAACAAGTTTGGGAGAGTAAGGTGATAGGAAAAAGGAGAAGGGGCAGGCCACAAAGCACATGGAAGAATAAGATAGGACAGATATTGATGAAAAGAGGAACGGATTGGAGAGAAGCTAAGAAACTTGCTTTAAACAAAAAAGGATGGACTCAATTCATGTACAAATAATAGTAGGTTTTGTAATGTTTTGTTTAACCTTACACCCTTTAGGGTAAATGGGATTTTGATTATATATATATAGTATTCGAAGTTGAGTCATTTATTTTAACAGTGAGTATATCTGATCAAAAGAAATGTTTTTTTCCTTTATCATTTTTCTGGTAAACTTAAAGTAACAAAGTTATAGCCCTTTGGAAGTTTGAGTACCGCCCTGTCTCAATCATAATATTATGTGCTCGTGTTTGGCGACAACGGATATAATCCGCCGTATCGGTTCATCGCATCGGAAACAAAAAAGCGAAAGAATTTGGAACGATGTTTTTACAATTATTTCATTCATTTGTACGAGTATAGAGTCAGTGTCAGTGAATAGTGGTATCTGTTGCGTGGCTCAAACGAAATAAAAAATGGCACATGTTTATGCGGATCGGTTTCCCAATCGAGTGCAACCAACCCCTCGTGCCTTTGTTAATGTAGTACAACGGGCTCGTGAATCAGGTGACTTAAGACCTCACAGGGGACCTCACGATCAAATACAGGTCCGCACTGAAATACTTGTCGGGAGGATACTTTATAAAACAAGGTAAACACTTTTTTTAATTTTTTTTTATTTTTACACACATATTTTGGTTTATCTTCCTTCTACAATCATTATCTGAAAATTAATGACTCAACTTCAAAGTCACCCTGTATATATAGCAGAAAATAGGATAGGTAACCCGAGCGATACGTATTTCTGCTGGTTGGATTCATCAGGCCCGAAATAAATGCACATATGAAACTACAAAAGTAGATACACATGCCCACACATCCGGATACGGGTGTAACCTGAGGAAACGAAGTTGGAGGGGGAAAAACGACACACGAAGTCCACAATAAGAGCCAACCTATACATTGTAGTATAAAATGGCTATACGACCTCGAATTTTCAAGGAGACGTCTAACCACCACCACGCGGCCGGTTATAGCCACATCCGGATGTGTGGGCATGTGTATCTACTTTTGTAGTTTCATATGTGCATTTATTTCGGGCCTGATGAATCCAACCAGCAGAAATACGTATCGCTCGGGTTACCTATCCTATCTTCTGCTCGAATCCACTTTCCTCCTTTTTGCGGATTTTGCCCATCCGCTTTGCTTAAATTTTGTCGAAGTACCCAACAAAAGGCGGAAGCTTTAATTTTTCACCTAACTGGTCTAGACGACAGTGACCACGTCTCAAAATATATATATATATATATATTATTATTATTAAGTTGTCGCCCTAAAAAGCAACGACTTGAAGGAGAAAGGTGTTTACTGCCCCCGTAAATGATCAAAATGCTGACCATGACGCTCTATGCATTCGAGGGTAGACAAAACTGCAGCTGCAATTTACGTTACGTATTGTATCACGAATCCGGTTTTTATATCTTTTCTGGTTGTAAAAAATGAAAAATTGCTCAAACTTTGCTTTTTGGCATTTCAGAGGCTACTGATTATTTTCAGAAAAATTCTTCATGTTGTTAGAAATTGGACGTTGTGAGAAATAGTGTAACTCAATTTTTCGGTTCCAGTATGTCTATATGCTTTGAATGCCACAAGTCACACCTAACGTTGATACACCTGCTTGACGCATGGTCTTTTAAGATGCATATGGTATATCAGTAGTTCGAAGTAATTTTCATGTCATTTGGAAACAGATTTATTCCACCTAATGCTATTTTTGGAAAAAATCTAGAGCAAAAATGGGTACTTGAGTTGATCACCTGACCCAGGATCGGCGTATCTACCATGACTTTTCCATTGTGTCAAGATCTCCAACGGGATGAATTGTATTTTAAACACACGCATACCGCCGTTTGCCCCTAACGTTGATACACCTGCTTCGACGTCTGATCTTGGCGCCACTTTTAAGATTTTTTTTTAGGTGATGACGAAATTGTACTTTATCACGCATGGTCTTTTAAACTGCGTATATCAGCAGTTCAAAATAATTTTCATATCATTTGGAAATAGATTTATTCCTTTTAACGCTATTTTTTGATAGACCATGGAAAACTAGACCAAAAACGGGAAGTTGGGCTGATCACTCCATCGCGCCACCTGACCCAGGATTGGCGTATCTATCACGACTTTTCCATTGTGTCAAGCTCTTCAGCTGGATGAATTGTATGCGCGGCAAAGCGTTCGGTGATTGATGTTGATTCGGCATTGGGAACTAGACGTGAAATCAAAGTAGGTGGCGGCGAGAGCAAATCCATGCCAGCCGTCTAGCTGCATACATATCAGCAGATGTGTGTGCATATACGCCCCAT